TATAGAGGGCACAGTTTGTGATCAATGACGTAGGGGTGAGTTTGGGAGTTTCTCGAAGTGTAGGCATTTGTCACTTACACTTGAGTCATAGCTTTTAACAATAAAAAAGACAAAATAATAAATAGAAAAAAAATTTATCAAAGAAATTTATCACGGAAGAAATAAATCAAAATTTTATTAAAAAAAAACAAAAAAAAAAAACAGAAGACGTCTTACTTATATTAAATTAAAAACAAAATAATAAATTTTTATTTTAAGATAAATTTATGATTACAGGGGTTATTTTGGTATTTTAGTTATAAAATTTCTTTATCTAGATATATTATTGTTTTTACATTATACTTTGCATCAAGCAGGGTGGGGATCCGAATTCTATTGACTACCCCCACCAGCTGGATATTACAAATACCATAAGATTCAGGAGCACATTTGACTCAAGTAATAAAAAATAAATATATTTTTTACTTAAAAATGTGTTCACTTAGAAAAGAAAAAAAATATCTTTATTTGTAGATCAGATTTGATTTCTTTTAATTTTAAAAAAAATTTGATTTTTTTAAATTTCAAAGAATTCTTTATTTAAAATATTTTCCTCTCAGAATAGGAAAATTTTGAATTTTTAAACCTGATTAGAAAAAGTAAACTTTAACATTTTAACAGAAATTAAAACAAATTGTCAGATGATTTTAATTCTACAATGATACGTTAGTATTTCATATTTAAACATTTATATTTTTTTTTTTACATTATTCTTAACTGTTGTAAATATTCAAAAACTTCTGGAAAAATACTGAATTTTTTTTATCCATTTCTAAACATGAAAAGTTTTTATTATGTAACATTATTTAAATTCTAATTTCAAACATTTTACATGTTTAAAATAAATTAAAAAACATTAAAATTTCTTATAAAATATATATCAAAATTTCTTATTAAAAATTAATGCAATTCCTGAAAATGAATATAGTATTATATATAATAGTATATATAATATTAATATAGCATTACATTAATACAGTAATGAATTAATATATTAATTATAAAGTAAAATAAATAAACAATTATAAAACTAAAATACCAATAAATATATATAAATATTAATATAGTATTAATGATTAAAAAAATTAATGGAATTCTGTAGTTTAATAATTAATAGAATTTTTAAACGTTTAAAATAAATAAAAAATTCAATTAAAATTCTTTATAAAAAGAATATAATAAGAATTTAATTAGATTAAAAAATTTTAAACATTTTAAACAATTTAAATGTTTTTTTTTATATTTATCTAAAAATTAATTGTCATCATTTTGGATATTTTTATAATTGTTCTGATTTTTGGCGTTTTTTACATTATTTTTAACTGTTGTAAATATTCAAAGGCTTCTGCGAAACAAAAAGTTTTTATTATCAATTTCTAAACATGAAAATTTTTTATTATGTAACATTATTTAAATTCTAATTTTCTTTTAAATTGATTTTTCATGCAATGTAAGAATGTGTTCATTTATAAAAGAAAAATATTTTCATTTAAACTTTAAAATTATTTGTAAAAGTTCAAACAATTTTTATTAAAATATCTTCTGTTTTTAGAACATAAAAAAATGTAAATTTTTAAATTTTTAAACTTAATTATGAAAATAAAAACCAAAAAAATTAAAGTATTTGTCACAATTTTTTAAACAGATAAATATAAGTTAACAAAACAAATTTATTAAATTCTTATAAATTTTAATCATTCCTATTACATACATTTACCGTGAAGCATAAATCATTGTTAATGTTGTGAATTAATTCAATTACAGCAAACATAGATGAAAAGCTAGCATTCAATCTTCTAAAAATAACATAAAAATTTAACTTTATAATAAAATCTTAAATTTTCATGACGGTAACTGATTTATAAGTTTAAAAGTAGAAAAAAAAACTAGTAAACACTTTTTAAAGTTTCATTAGAATTAATATATTTAAAACAATACATTAAAACATTATATGAATTTAAAATAATATATTTAAAAAAAATAAATTAAAACATTATATATATTTAATGCAATAAATTAAAACATTATATATATTTAATGCAACTAATTAAAACATTATATATATTTAATGCAACAAATTAAAACATTATATATATTTAATGCAATACATTTAAAACTATAAATTATAACATTTAAAACAATATATTTGAAACTATGTGTTGAAATATTTATATATATTTTTACAATATATTTAAAAATATAAATTATAACATTATATATATTTAAAACAATATATTTAAAACTATGCATTAAAACATTATATATATTTAAAATAATAGATTTAAAACTATAAATTAAAACATTATATATATTTAATCCAATAAATTAAAAATATATATTTAATGCAATAAATTAAAACATTATATATATTTAATGCAAAAATTAAAACATAATATATATTTAATGCAACTAATTAAAACATAATATATATTTAATGCAATAAATTAAAACATTATATATATTTAATGCAACTAATTAAAACATTATATATATTTAATGCAATAAATTAAAACATTATATATATTTAATGCAACTACTTAAAACATTATATATATTTAATGCAATAAATTAAAACATTATATATATTTAATGCAACTAATTAAAACATTATATATATTTAATGCAACTAATTAAAACATTATATATATTTAATGCAATATATTTAAAACTATAAATTATAACATTTAAATCAATATATTTAAAACTATACATTAAAGCATTATATATATATTTGTAAAACAATATATTTGAAACTATATATGTGTTGAAATATTTATATATATTTTTACAATATATTTAAAAATATATATTAAAGTCTGACAAAATACAAAGGTTTACCAATACAAAACATCACTAAATATTAAAAATTAAAATGTACATCTACCATAGAGTATAACAAAAATAGAAAATGTCATAAATTCTAATATGTACAGAATGTGAAACATATATCAGACATTGTTCTGATACCTGAATCTCACCTTTATATAAACTGTTTCAATAAATCCATTTTTCAGCCTTAACAAAGAAGGGATCAGCCCTAATACAAAGAATTTTTCTCAAAACACATTCAACTCAAAAGTGGAGACAATTTTTGGAAATACGCTTTTTTTCAGAAATGATTTCAATAGAGAACTAGAATGTTTTTCCCTCAATGCATTATATCTGTTCTCTAGTTAAAATTCTGATCAGAAGGAGAAATCAGAGAACCAAATTCCAATCAGGTTTGTTACATTCATTTACATGCAAATACTCTTGGGAAAGGTATGAATCTATCTCTTTTCCTCAGCTATGGGTTAAATAGTAAGAGTTGTATATAGAAAAATCATTGCTATTCTCAAAAAATTGTTAATACCATATTGACTTTAAAAAAAGAAAAAGAATTGTTCTTAAAATCCAAAGTATGTTTTTTTTCTTTAAATGACCTACAACGGGTTGATAAGCCAGAAAAAAAAAACTGTTAAACCTTTCCCCAGCTATGGGTTAAATAGTAGGAATTGTAAGTATAAACATCATTGCTATTCTCAAAACATTGTTAATAACAAATTCACTCTAAAAAAAAACAAAAGAATTTTTCTTTTTTTCTTTAAATGACCTACAAATCAATTTATCATTTTCTCAAAATTGATAAACATTTTTAAAATATATTTTTCTCAAAAAAGATTCAACTCAAAAGTGGAGACAATTTTTGAATACAGTGTAACCCGGAGAGTTGTCGGGACCGGAGAAGAAGTCTCTTATATCCGGGTTTCTCTTATATCCGGATTTGGTCTATTTTGTTTAGGTAAGTATGGGAACAATTTGGGACCAGAGAAAATCTCTCTTATATCCGGGTTTCTCTTATATCCGGGTCTCTTACATCCGGGTTACACTGTATATGTTTTTCTCAAAATTGTATGAGTCGTGAATTGATTTTTTTTTTTACACATTTTAAAACAAACTGAAAATGGTTTTCAAAATAAAATCGATAAGACAAATTAAAATTTCAAATGACTTTAATATGTGAAACATTTTGGTCAAAAGATGAAAGTAAAATTCATAACAATAGCAGAAGTTTTACAAGAATATAAGATCTGAAAATAATGCAAAATAATGCAATTTAAAATTTGACTTTCTACTTTTTCTAAATCTAATTTTTATGCACACACCTACATTACACACAAACATGCACACACACACAGTTGCATTTACAAACATATGAGTTTTTAATTTCATTATTCATTTTGGACAAGTATTTTTTCATTTTAATTTAAATATGTATATATTTTAGGTGGAGTGAAAAGTCATTTTCAAGAAAATATCCGGTTTTAAATGGAAGGGATTTTAACTGTACAGTTACAGGTTTGTAGAGCCTTAGAAATTCTTAGAATCCCTTATAACTCAATATAACGTGTAGCAAAATTTACAACACAAGACATATCAGTAATTGTGATATAAAATACTTACATGAAAACAAGCCGGCCTTCACAAATAACAAAATATTTATTTTATCAAATTTAGTTTTGTAAATCCAGATATTGAGGCTTTTTTCCCATTTTTTCTTTCTTATATATATATATATATATATGTGTGTGTGTGTGTGTGTGTGTGTGTGTGTGTGTGTGTGTGTGTGTATGTATGTATGTATGTATGTATGTATGTATGTATCTTTTTTTTAATTATACAATGCCAGGACATCCATCTGATTTTTTTTGCAAGAATTTTTTTTTTCTGATCATATGTCATACAATGAAATTTTAAATGCAATTGTCTTGCAGTTGAGAAAGAAGCAGGAAGACTACACACAGAGACACATTGTGAATGTGGGTATTAACTAACTCAAACCAAGCTACAAATGAAGTACTAAATTTACTATCAAAGTCTTGATCGCATGTTTTTGACTACACTAAAAGGATAGATAGATAGATAGATAGATAGATAGATAGATAGATAGATAGATAGATAGATAGATAGATAGATAGATATTAAAAAATGTGAGATATTAAAAGTGTGAGACAGATATTAAGTGTGAGAATGATTGATAGATATGAATATACAGAGACGGATAGATAGATATGAACATATGGAGATAGATCTATATATATGAACAAACTGAGATAGATATAGATATGAACAAACTGAGATAAAACAGACTGAGATAGCTGAACAGATAGATAGATAGATAGATAGATAGATAGATAGATAGATAGATAGATAGATGAACAGACTGAGATAGATGAATATAGATAGATAATGAACAGACTAAGATAAATATATATGAACAGACTGAGATAGATAGATAGATAGATAGATAGATAGATAAATAGATAGATAGATAGATAGATATGAACAGACTAAGATTCATTCATACAATATACATGCACACCTTACAAATGAATTCACACCCACATTCATATGTATGCAGTTGTGAAGTAACTTACACAAAGTTGCAAATAATTACACTTGCTAAAAAATAGTTGATTTGCATGTTTTCAACTATATTATGAAAGAAGATAGATATAGATAGATAGATAGATAGATATGTTAGACTGATATAACTTAACATTTTTGTTTTGTTTTTCAACTTTCACTATTTTTAAACAAAACTTTCAAAAATAAGAAGATATAAGTAAAATAATAAACACTTTGACTTAAAGCCACTATTTCTTCTCCCTCCCACCAAAAGATTTGAAATATTGACTTCCCCCAACCTTTCACATTATCCAATATGACGTAACAGTCACGTGGCGCCAGTGGACCAATCGACGGCGCCAAATGGTATGTGGCAGGCGGAGGTTAAAGGCAAGGTGTCGAGACGAACAAGGGAGAATGTCTATCTGGAGTCCGGCTTTGGTACAGATCAGAAGTGCTTGACAAGTCGGGCCGTACGCACGTGTCGATCAGAAACTTTTAAAAAAAGTAGAATCCAACAGAAAAATGCAACTTGAAACTTTGCAAAAATTTTAACCTTAAAAAGAAAAATAATTTCCAAGAAGGACTAATTTTTCCACGTTCCGTTTTTTTTTTTTTTTTTTTTCTAATTTTTTTTTTTTTTAAGATTAAAAAAAAAAGAAAAAAAGGAACAGGGAAAATCCAAGTGAACAAACGTAAAGAAGTCACTGGCGCAACTTAGAAAACTCCATGCGCTTCGAACGTTAAATTTCCCGTGTGTGTGTATGTACGCCTTATCAAGTGTCGGATCTCAGCTTCCGTGAGAGCACCATTCCTGCTGTGAACCCTCCCTCTTTAACTCTTTGTCTATCTACGCAACCCTCCCGATTCCCTCTCTTTCCTTATCGCTGTTTCTATCTCCGCTCGGACCTCCCTCCCCCAACACTCCTGCACTGATCGTATCACTTTCACAGATCTTCTTTCTATACGTCTCCTTCCATCTCTGTTATTTACTTTACTTTTTTTAACCCCTACATGTCTTGATTACTTATATATAACCCCCTCCTTATTTGCTTACTCTTTATCTGTTGCCCCCTCACTAATTTGATCTTGTCAGGAAGTGCGCTTCTCCTCTTGCTGTTACTAGTGCGCGAAACGTCTTCGACTATCTCAGTCTATTCTGTCCTCTTTTTCTCTCCCGCTTGACTCTCATCTCCCTCTGTAATTAGCTTTTACCCTCTCCATTAAACGCCACTCACTAGTTATTCTTATCTTTTCCCTTATTGCCGTAAATCTCCTCTCGCTTTACTTTCTTGCACTGTCCCGCTCTGTCTAAAAGTCACGCTCTCATTACCCCTCTCTGTTTTCATTACAACTAGTGCTCGCTCCCTCCCTCAGTAGATCAGTAACGTGCCTCTGGCTACGGAAAGCTCTTCCTCCCACTCCCTTTATCGGAATACGAGGAGAGGGGCGATGTGAGTGCCCCATGCGTTTTCTTATATCTTTCCCCTCTCTCTATGGTACTACGTAGTAAGTAAGTGCTCGTGTGCTAAATACATTTACACACAAGTCAATACAGCTCTCAAGACGGAAGGACAAAGTAACGATAGCCATATAGGCCGGCTATCTGATCATACACTACACACCCAAAAGGCTTTTTTACACTTACCTACCCTGGACCTTAAACTTGTTGAAATCAAACCCGGAGCTTTAAATTCATTTAAAAAAAACAAAAACCATGTCGATATATGACCCGCGAGGACTCCTACCATGGTGATATCACCAAGCAGACCTCGAGTAAAGACTTCGCATTCATTAATTCTTTTTCCACAATTACTACTAAAAAAAAACGCACAGACTTGCTTAAAAACTCTGGACATGAGGGTTGCTCAAGATCGGCAAAACCCTTGCACGGTCGTAAACGTGACTGGTAGACGGGGTTTTGCAACCTGAAGACTCCCCCACTTTTTTATATTTTTTAAACCCATATATATATATATATATATATATATACATATATATATATATATGTATGTGTGTGTGTATATATGTATATACACACACAAACTTGGATGTATATATAAATATGCACTAGCTTTATATTTCGCTATTTTTTCATTAAGTACTAATTCATACTCTGACCGCTACCCTATCTACCTCCCACCATCATTACGGGCTTCACTCTTCCCGCTACTACTAGGTTCTTCCTACTCTCTCCAAAAGCACTACTCCCACCGCGACTTTTATAAAAAATAACTACAAACCTTATGCATTCAGCTCCAAATAGATGTATATATTTCTATCCGCATATATCTATATCTATATTATTGTTTTGAATTTTAAAAGTGAATCTGGCACAAAAACGTCTATATTGTTGTTACTAGTATCGCCTAGTTTCAGTGTCCCTCCAACTACGCTTAAAAACTTTACTCTAACCGCTCCTCCAGTTTGTCTTCTGGTATCTATCCTCCTACCACCATTACGCACCCTGCTCTCTCTGCTCCTCTGGCGGTTCCTCCAACCACAATTGCCAGCTTTACTCTTACCGCCACCCTCCGCCTCTACGTTAACTTCTGCTGACAACAGCCAACATGGCGGCGACGCTGGCACGTATGGGTCGCCCCTTGTTGGTGTTGGTGTTTCTGTTGTTGTTTGAGCGGGCTCCCCCGATTTTAGGGGGCCTCTCGAACTCAGGATCGAATCTGGACATATTCACGAACAGGACAAGACAGATAAAAGTTCCCAGCACGACCCGGGTGGTACATGACCAGTGTCCGACCGTGTGCTCCTGTCTCGGATCTATGGTCGACTGTAGTGAAAAGGGCCTGACACGGGTCCCTCCTGATCTTCCGTCTTGGCTTGTCATGTTGTAAGTAATGAATTATTTACATCTGTTTTAGATGTCTACTGTTTTCTGGTTCTTTGTTGTATCGTAGACGTGTCTTTTCTTTTTCTTATTCGTCCTGTACTGATAAACCGATAATAGAAAGTCTATAAACTAGGGTCCCCCTCTTTAAAAAAAATACCAAAAAAAAAAAAAACAGTATGAAAACAACAACTCTTTAAGTTCTTCCATCTATTTCCCTGTCCTGAATATGTTTTTAAGAAAAAAGAAAGGGGGTTAACTAAGCAATACCTCGGGATATTTTTATTGCTTGTTCAATTATTAACCTGGATTTGATTAATTACTGCTAAAGGTGTGATTTCTTCTGTTGGAGATATTTAGTTCGACATATGAAACTGTCCGATACCGAGATATCATTTATTTAATTAAATAAAAATCAGAATTAATAAAAGAAAAATAAAGAAAACTAATTGAACCCCGATTTTTATAAACACTTTTATTTCTTTAGCCTGGGACCTTTCTATTAACTTTTTATTTAAAATATGTTTTTATTGTAAACACCTCCTTAAGCTCCAAAAAGCATCATTTTTATCTTCATTCTTTTTTAAAATTCTTCCATTTATATTCACTAGAAAATAAATTCATTCATTTTGAATATTTATTTTTAAATTAAAAAACCTATTTTTTTATTTTTTAAATTTCTGATCATTGCTCTTTTTTATTTAAATTTAAGTTTTTAAATGACAACGTGATCTTAAAATTCATCATTTAAAAAAAAAGTCTATAATTATAGTCCAGGTAATTTTATTATGTAATTTTAAACAATTTGTAATAATTGATTTCAACGAAATCGTTGAAAAATCTTTTAACGTTGTTTGCATAATTTTATTTATTTATTTATTAAAATAAGACTTCACGATATTTGATTTAATAATGAATTTGTAAACAAACACTTATTTTTTTTTTTTTTAATCAATCCAGTTAAAACCTTACGTAAACACACGTGATTCATTCTTAGTCGATTTACTTACAAATTCATAAAAATGTCAATTACACACATGTTGTATTTTCAACCTTTTTAAAACTTTCGTTTTACTTAATAACTTATTACTGCCTACATGTTGGACAATAATATAGATATAAATAAATGGTCCCGACTGTTTAAAATATATCAATTTTTTTTATCTTCGCCCCCACTTATTACTACTACTCCTTCTGACAAACCTTGTGTACAAATCTGGGGCACCTCACTATTTTTTTTCTTTCTCTGTATCTAAAAATTCTTTCTAAAAATTAAAAAAAAAAAACAAGAAAAATAGCTTTAAAACTAAAACAATTACCTTTTTAATTAATATCTATATTAATAAACCTGAACTCAGTTATTTTTTTTATTATTGACCTGCTTATAAGACAAAATATGTCCGGGCAAATATTGTTTGAGAAGCAATTTTTTTTCTCTCTCTTCATCTGTTGTGGCTGTTTTCTCTCACTTGCCAGTCAAAGCATTTTTTTTAACCTACATTTTGTCATAACTCGTACTTTATAAATATTATAGACTTCTTCTCTCCTATTTGATAAAATATCACACATCTTACATAGTTAATATATGCTGTCATTTTTATTCTGATTTACTTGTTAAAATCAGTTCAACATCCCATTTTGAAATAAATCTTTTCCTATTATTTTTTTTCACTCTCTCTCTCTCTCTCCAATGAGCGAATAAATTGTTGAAAACAATATAGATCTATTAAGTTAAGATAATGTTACATTTGGTCACAGATTTGTGGTTTTTTTATACAGTTTTATTGATTGCTACATTTTAGTGCAAAATCGTATTATCAATTGAAACTAGATTTCTAGTGTGTCGGTTCTTTCTTTTCTTTCTTGTCTCTTTTTGCGCGCGCACGTGTGCGATGAAATTTACACCTTTTCAATGATTAAAAAAAAAATGATTCGGTATATTATTTTCACTTGATTTCCGTAAAATCCTAAGTTTAGAATTACCGCTTTGGATTCGTATTTAGAAATTTTTATATGATTTATATTATTTTTACTTACTGCCGATACTGTATGCTTAAAAAAAAAACTCTTGGCAAATATGTCAATGATATACAATTTATTTAATTACTCAGATTAAATAAATTAGTTGTTTTTTTTTTTTTTTTTGTATGCCTATGGCGTTAACTTAGACGCATTTTTTTTTTAATTGTGCATTTTTAAACTTACTACATTTTTTTCCCGTCAATTTTTCAAAGAATTTCTGAATTTAAGAAAGTAGTAAAACATTTTAAAGATCAAATCCTGAGGTTTGTTAAATAATAAAATGCAGGATCAGTGTTTTTTCATTCGGATTGGTAACCTAATTTATTTCTACTACTGTCGGGATATTCTCCGATCATCAGCAAGCTACGTGTTGAGTCGACCGACTTCAATATTACTGCGCAGTTTTTGGTTAATAATACCATTTATGCAGTTAAAACAAAAATAAAATACTTAATTTTGCATTTTAATTGCAAATATAGCGAAAAGCTGCAAGTTTTTAACACAAGTTAAATAATAATAATAATAATGGGGATCTTTCTTCTCAAGAATGAGAAACTTATTTTCAAGAACCTATTTGGAAACGCATCGTAATGGCCAGTTTTATCTCACAGTCTCAGAAGGGTTAACGATTGAACGAACAAATGTCATCTCAATATCAATATTATATTGATTAAACATTGCACTTGGCTATAACCTTTTCCTTTATGACTACTTAGGCAACGTCCCAACACATTTCAGGAAAGGACAGTGTGGTTGTAAAGCCGCATTGACCCGCTAAAGCATGAAATACCTTCACATTCTAACCAGTTTTCGAGCGACGAGTAATGAACACCAAGATGCCTGGTCTCTTCTTAGCCTTTAACATTGGAACTTTGCCCGGTAAACAAAAATATCCGTACAAGGCCTTTCCAGACCATTAATTTTTCATGGCTTTCAAATTGGCTTCCTCCAAAACTATGCAGAATAAAAGTATTTTGTCCTCCTGCAATATCAATATAATAAAAACATTCTTGTTTGCAATGTAAATCCATTGTTCGCAGCTGTTCTTTTTGTCAACACAGAGAAATTATACTTTTTATTACACGAGCCTCCAATTCAGACCTTTGCATATTCCAATACGTTCTTACTTATTGTATAGTGGTTTAATCAGGATTTCCTATGAAAGAATGTTTTCAAAACTTCCCGAGATTTTCTTTTTAGCAACCCTTAAATAATCTAATCCTGACCAAGTTTATAAAGTATTGCTGAAAGTTAACTTCAAGATATGTGTATGTAATGGAAACTAAAGTAATTGAAAGAAACAATAGCATTTCACATTTGAGCTTCTTGTTTTTTTACTTTTCAATATTTATATGAAAACTAATGTTTATTAGTTTTCATTAAATGGTCATTTTTATTAGCCTTCTGATTGAGTTATATAAGATTAAATATAAAATTTGTCACTTAGCTGATTGAGTATCAGTATGTATATATATATATATATATATACACACACACACATAACTGTTGTAAATATACAAAGGCATCATAAATTGATTTTCATTATTGATTTCTTATTAAGTCCTATTATTTGAATTCTAATCTTGTAAATAATTTTGTGTTCAGTTGTCTGTCTTTGCTTCATTGATGTCTACATTCATTTTATCACTAAATAAGTTATTTTCTTTGTAATCTCTCACTTTTTTGTTAGTCTCTTTTGAAAGTCCAAACGGAATTAAATCTTTTGTGCATTTTAAAAGCTTTGTAATTAATAGGAAATTTACATGTGCAATCCACTTTTATCTGAAGAATGAAAAGAATAGCATCCTTTTCAAAATGAAAATATTTTCCTTAATTTTTCTAGATAAAAAAAAAAATATAACTCGTATATAATTTTAAAATCTGCAAATTTTTCAAGTTAGCAACTATAGTCTCTTTCTTTTTCTTTTTTTTTTTTTTTCTTTTTTTTTTTCATCACCACCACCCCAAGTATATTGCAAGTCCACTGTGTGCTTGTTGGGTACTTTGGCCATACAGTCTAAAAATTTATCAGTGATCATATGATCTACTTTATATATACCTATTTGCTTACTAGATATCTTTCTAGGCAGATAATTACATAAGAGACATTATATGATGTTTACTTGAGAATTATCTGTGTTTACACCTGATCTTTGAATCCTCCTTAATACTTAAAAGCAGAATCTATGTATCTACACATATGCTTTCTGTCTTTAAACTGCAAGAAATTGTGACAAAGAATGGAGCATCTATAATTAATAACACATTATCACAAGCACTTGTGATATGACTGATCTGTATCCTTTGTACCTACTTACCATTCACTTCAACCAACTGATAAGAGAATGTTTGTTTCAAGATAAGGCAATTTGGAAATCATTTTCTGAGGGAGGCTTCACTACTCAGGGGGCAGTCATTTCTGAGCGAGGCATTTTGACTTGTTGCTGATTATATAAAACATCTGATAATTTTGGCTCTTAAAGAAATAGCACCAGTTTCTATTTAGATTACACAGATGAGAAATTATCATTGTTTTACACTGATCTATTCCAACTCCTGGCTTGATTTTTGTACTTACAAAGGCAAAGCTTCAGACGTTGTAAGCTCGGAGATCTTGAAATGCTGTGACTATAACAACCAAAATTCGGATATTGATCCTAGAGCTCAATTTACAATAATCACACGTTTCTCTTTGTGTTAAAAGTCGGTCTATTGCCTATTCTGTTGGACCTTGCTTTTTATGTCAATTCTCTTTCTCTTGGGTGTTGCCTCATTGTCACAATTTTTAAACCAATGTCCCAACTATTCAACCCTTGGGAATCTAAAGTTTTTTTAAATAAAAATAATACAAAACATAATTTGGTTTAAATAAAGAATTTCAGTCATTTTAATTTTTGGTCAGTGAAATTCCTGTTTTCCTTCAGATGTTTTATATCTATGAAGGGATTTCATTTTGTTTTTTCTTTGTCGATACAATATTA